CTTTCTGGCAACCATTTATACCTAGATGCTGCAAAAATTGTTTTCTGTTTCTTGCCAAACATAACAAAATCCTATATAAACTGCTTTAGCAAAATAAAAATAACAGCTTATAAATGGTGTTTAAATATGCATTCATTTTAACTACTGAACAAATACTGGGATAACTCCAAACAGCATGAAAGGTTGTAATTGCAGCATGATTTGAATTTCAGAGCCTAGAAATGTCAGCACTTCCAACGTGTTGTTTGACAGTGTTATTTATGTTATTTATATTAGCTAACTAAAACCAGAAACTGTGTCTCGACATAATAAATATAATAGAAAAATATTTTATTTGTACCATTGTATAAAATATTATGCAATCATATAGAATATATAGATTACATTTTAATATCAATTGTATACATGTCATGAAATCATTTTCCCTTATCAAAGATGTAGTTTGTAAACTTCAAATAGCTCTGTATCTGTTCCTGTTGCTCTAGATGACTTTAATTAAAACAGATTTACGAAGGAGACCATTTCTGATTCATAAAAGTTACATTATAAATTAAGTCAGTACACTGAAACAACAAACCTCTGAGAAATAAAAAATTCCTTTTCTAGTATTCATACTTTTTCCTCCAAAGTACTTGAAAATGTGTATGTCTTCAAAATCATGTCAAGCCATTACACACAATATAAATACAAACAAGGTTGGTATACATTAGGCTTTATAAAAAGAAAATTTTCTCACCAAGATAGAAAACAGATTGCTTATACTATGTGGTCAATACAAAATGACAGTTAAAGCAAAACACTAAACATAATTCAACGTATTCAAGTCGCATTTTTGTTTTGTTTCGTTTGTTTTGATTTATTCTTCCTTCCTTTGTGTCTGGGCTAGGTATCTCCCAGAATCCCTGCTTCTCGTTTCTAGTACAAAACCTAGATAAGCCTTCTTTTCATAGTCCACTTTTCACACAAATGGTCTATCACAAATAGTGAAAAACTCTCCTTAATATTACAAAGTGTAGTGCTCTGAAAGTTAAGAAAGATGCATAATTCCAATGGAAAAATATCTTTTCTATAATGTTATTTTTAGTAAACATGTAGTGTAGCATCCTTATCAGATAACTGTGACAATCAATTATATACCATGTACTTAATCTATCCAAAAATATCTGAAGCATAATGCAATAATCTAGTCTCGGTTTAATATATATATATATATGTGGCAATTTATAACACAAGAAATACTTTGACATTTTACAAAGTGCATGCGTCTAAATGAGCTTTGGTAGTTAGAAAAGCAAATGTTATAGCGTCAGGCAAAATAAAGTGCAACCTTTAATATGGAAATAAAAGTTAGCATGTAGTCGATCTATTTACTAAATTTTAAGTACTGTGAGTCAGGTCCTGTGAATACTAGTGAAAAGGACAGCAGCCAGTACATTTGTTTTATCCCTTCCCAGTAAACTCTTGTCTATTTCATTTTGCCAAACACTTTCTTTTATTTCTAAAAAAAACAATAGTTCTATTTGGCAGCCATGTTCCGTCCTTCTTTTTTTGCGTAGGCAGCATCACTTTGCTCTGCTCCCAGAATTTTAGACCAAATCCTGGTGCTGGTTCTTTGTATGCATCTTTCTTTGAAGCTGCTGGAAGTGAATGGCAACTCTCTCTTGAAAGATAGTGTATGTTCATGAGTTTTTTCCTTCGTTTCTTTTAAGCTCATGTTTCTTTTAATCTAGTGAATCAGCACACTGAGAACCCATATTAATAGTTAATTATAGTGCATGTTAATTCTAGAAAGAAATATGTGGTAGTTTATCATGTACTAAAAACCTGGAGAGCATTTCCTCACACTTTTTAAAACTAAGAGCAGGTCAAAACGAGGATTTGCTATACTTCAGTGTCCTTTTAATTTCTAACATTCTCACAGTGCACTTCAAGGCTTTTTCAAAAGGAAAAAATATATACTATAGTCCACTCACCCGTGCTTAATATTCTTGCATATTGCTGTCCTCTCTCAGCCCAGCTAGTATAATTGGTAAAGTGCATCCAAAATCTCAGTGTGTCAAATAATTGTGCAGCAGACCAAGACCTGTAAAATTACTTCCTCTTTTTCATTACTTGTTTGTTTGCTAGGGTTTTTTTGCTAGTGAACAATACCACGGCACTGCATTCACTTCAAATTGTTTTGGAAATGTCATGCTTACTGATGAGAACCTCCAAGAGCCTAATTTTGGCTTTTGTGTGCTTGTATTCAGAGTATTCCTCAGCCATTGGCACCCGGTCTTCTTTTTGAGGACTCCTGTGAAAAGCAAATAAAAGTGCCATCACTTTTATGAGTAAGAGGAGAAACAGTCTTTAAAATTAATTCTGCAACAACTAGTGAGGATTGGGTTGGATGTTTTAATATTTTTTTCCTATCTGTAGCTGACTAAAGATAATTCAACAGGATCAAAAAGCTCTAATAGACAGAAATGAAAGTAGAGTATTTAAAATACTGAACTTTCATATGCCAGGTAGTTTTCTTTCTTGTCAACTATGCAGGCATAACTAACTACATTCTCAAATACACAGAGAAGTTTTTACATAGTGCTTTGAAAACTGTAATCAAAATACTACTTGCCCGTATCCTCCAGAGTTTTCAGCAAACAAGTTTGCTAAATGGAGGCAAGAGGATAAACAGAGTGAAAAGTAGCTGGTATTTGTCTATAGTGAAAGAAACAGTGGCTTCTGTTTTTAAATCTGGCCTTTTAAAAACAGCCCAACTGCCAAGTGTAATCCTTGCAGACTGACATACTCAGAAAGACTTTATCAGCCTCTGTTCAGCTCAGAGTTTATACCCGTTGCAGGCATGTCCTGGAAGATCCCCAGTTCCAGCCTGCCCTCAGAGATGCCCACATCCTGGAGGAACTACGCAGGGAGATGGCCAACTCCACAGAGACCAGGCACCTCCATGGTATCTTCCAGTCCCTAGCTGCAGCTCCTTTGGCCTGCTCACCTAAGAGTACCCATCCTCGCAGAAACAAACATGTCCGCATAGGAGCCCAAAGGGGAGAAGGAGAGGGCTTTTGTCAAGCTGGTTATTTACCTTCCTGTCTGTTTATAGAACTGTTCCTCAAACTCTCTCAGAGCCTTGCGAAGCCTTTTCTTGTCTTCTTTTGTTTCTTTGAGATGTTCAAGCAGAACAGGCCTGTAAAACAGAGACGAGAGCATGAAACCCCCATGTGCTTGGAAGTATTGTAAAAGCTGCGGCTTCAGTAATAAGCAGCCTGCTGCTGTGGGCCACAGCACGCGCTGATCTCTGACCCGAGACATTCCACCACATCCCTCCAACTATGGCTATAACTGGCTGTACCATCACATGCAATAACCAGTTGTGCACCCTCCCTTTTACCAGTATTCGCTCCCTTCTAGTAAAGTGAATGCAGAGACTCTATGGACAACATCGGAGGAAAAGCTTTCAGCATTGAATCTTGCTAGTGGTCTTAATTCTGTGTGGAATTAATGGAGTTGATGGGCTTTGCAGCTCGCTAACTGAATTAATGTCAGCATCCAAGCCTAAAAGCAGCTGTTACCAAGCGTTATTGTGATGCAGTGGAAATGCCGGTGGTACCCAGAATCAACATTTTTGGAGTCTATGCTTTAGCTGGTATGTGGAGAATAAGATTTTTAAGCAGAAAAAGACTTCCATTGTGACATATGCAGCTGGGTTTTTTTTTTTTTTTTGTAATAACAAAATGCACAGAAATACCTTCACTGTGTTTGTGAGCAAACTATTGCATACGTAGTTGGGTTACAGAGAAAAAACAAGACATTTTTATTTACTTTCAGTTTTGGTAGAGCCTAGTCAACTTCATTTGTGTGTCTAAGTGCATCCTCCCAATCAAAACACAAGAAGAAGATACCATCCCCTAAGCTATGAGAACACATCTGTTCCTGGAAGGCTGGGTGGTAACAGCCCAAGCCCGTCTTGAGATTTTTTGTATCATGCAACCTGAAATTCTTAAACTACAGCTCAGGAGGAGGGCTTTACTTTTTGATTTTATAATGGAGAGTAGGAGGGTGCTGTTAAGTTTTCTGGGCATCCAAACACTAATAACTATTCTTATGCAAGGAAGAACTGGAGTTTACACACATTTGGTGGCCTCCCACATGACCATGTATTGGGTGATCCTTCACTCAGCTCACCTGGTGCTGTTTGTATGCCTCTTGGCTCTGGCATTTTTACATCACTCACACAGTCAGTCCCAGTACATACACACAGGAGCAGGCTGTGCTGCTTGGCTGAACTGGGCTTTGTTTTATGACTGCTGAGTCATATCTTAAAATTTTGCAGCCATTGTAGGTAGGTCTGCATAGCTTCACTATGCCATAGTGTCATATCTACCGCTGTGTATATTTCTCCTCTCTATCTGCTTGCATTCCTTTACCATTTTTGTCATGGACTTGGCACAAAGTTGTTCGAATAAGTAGTGCAAACCACAGGTATGCTGCCCGAACAACAACTATCCTCTGCCTCTTTTCTCCCATAAGAAAACATTGAATCACTTCTTTGGTACAGAATATTCCCATGGAGTATGTATGGCTCATGGTTTATTTACAACGTCTACATGAAATACTTTAAAACATTCAGGAAAAAAAAAAAGAACTTGCATTGTTGCCTCATGTAAATTTGACATAGACAAGGCTGTTTGCCTGAAAGCTTTCTTTTCATCCAGAGGTGAAACATATGCAGGCTCACTCTCCTCCTGAGAGTAACACAGGTGCTCATCGACAGGGAGGCAAGATATTGGACCGAATGATAACGCATGGCTGCTTTGAGAATGGTCTTCATCTGAGTCTTCCTCCTCCTGCTTGTAAAATGTAAAGCATTATTAAAATTAGTTGTTTACATTACAGTACTAACAATTAATAGGATGACAGCATAAAGAATTAGGAGCTAACTTCCTGGATGTATTCATCAAAGTAGATTACATATATTGAAAGCTTTACGCAGGTCTACACGGGAGTGTTCATGAGAGCTCTTGTGGGGCTCACTGAGTTACTGTGTATTGTCTGCCATGACTAAACAGCACAGAAGTTGGCCCTGCTTCTGAGTATCTCCAGACAGAAATTTCCTTCTGTTTACTCAAAAGCCTTTATAAGTAGCAGCAAAGATTTAAAGAATTTTCTGTACTTAGTAAGCAGTGCAACCTTGCTGGAACTTGTACTCCTCTTATATACCATCTACTCTTTGTATTACGTCCAGAAATTCTGACTGTATCAAGAGTTGGAGGTGGAGATTTCACAGTTTTATAGCTACAAACGTTAACTACCAAACTACTGTCGCTGTCTTCTTCACATTCCTTCATCCTTAGAAGAAAAAGTCTGAGCTTTTGAAACTAAGGCTTAAACATAAAAAAAAAAAAAAAAAAAATCCATGGAGTAAAGCTCCTGAGAAGTAACGCAAGGTAATATCAGTTAAAATTTTAAATAAAATATCTGTGTGCATGTGTACAGATTTACACTAGGATTTTTCAAATAAATCTAAAGCTCCAGTGTCACCTAACAAGGCAATAGTTCATAATTTTTAAAATCAACCCAATCCAAATTAGTATTAGATTAGTATTCTTAATGAAGACATGCTAATTAACTTCCAAGTAGCCAGACTGCACTTCCTTTACTCACGGTGAGACCAGTACTGTTACATTACACTGATATATTATTAAAGTATTACAAATGATATGTATGTGCTACATACTGATAAAAGCATTGCCAATAAACTATAAAGCTAGATATCGTGACAGTATATCTAATATATATCTAGTGACAGTATATCTCTTCATGGAAAGAGATAGGCTTCATTCTGTGCTGCATACGTTAGCCATATTAGAAAACTAATGCCAGCCTTTTATCTCTTACGCAGTCATTTGAAGCGATTGCCTCAGAAGCTGCTGCCATACATTGCAACCTTTGGCACGCTTAAAAGTTGAATTTTGCAGAGCATTTGCTCTATTTGAAATATCAACACCATGTATTAACCAATGAGCAGATTCTTCAAGTATTGGTAGTTCTATTGCTTCCAAACTGACATACAGGTACAAACCAAGCACAGCATTTAGTATGTTTTCTTGACAATGGCCATGAATCCTTTCCAACTTACAATTGTTGTGATCAAAGATGGAGTTGCAAGAAGTTTCTTTATAATTCTGTATCTGTCATAAAGAGGTTTCATGAGACTCTTTTCTTGCTTAGTTACCTAAAGAGAAATCATAACAAAATATACTATTCCAAAATTAAAAATAAAGAATAAATAAATAAATTTCTCATGTGCTCCTATAAAGCTGAGAAAGGCATTAGAAGAGTATGACCTGATGTGTGTTTTGCTTCCATGGGTATTTCATGGTGACTAGTTTAATCCATACAGTTTCTAAAAAGGAAAATGACAATTTTCCAATGGAAAACGCCCAATGTGGATTCCTCACTTGGGCCACACCACCCAGGCAGAGGGTAAACTATTCTCTGTCTCCTTCTGAAGATGTTAATAGAGATGTAAGAGCTAAGCTGTGCTTCTGCTGTGCATTGCATTGATAGCTCACGTAGCTGTAACGGTGGCAACAGGTTAGCTGCAGTGACGTGACAGTCTGCCTGGGACAATATACTCAGCAGCCCAGTGGGATGGAGAGCACTGAGAGTACAGCTGTACAGCCTCGGTGGGTGAGCTGGCTCCGTGCAGAATTACTCTGGGCATTCCTCGCTGGAACTGCCTTCCACAATTGGGTTTAACCATCTGCTCATTTAGCTTGCTCTTGCTCTTTTATGAACACTAGGAGCATTCATTTGGAGGAGATTATTATTTTAGATCAGGTATTAAGAGCCTGATCCAGCCACAAATATTTGTAAATACAAAACTAAACCTTATGGAAACTAGTTGTGCAGAAGACAAACTTACTGTATTAAGCAAAAAAAAAAAAAAAAAAAAAAAAGAACAAATCCCACAAGGTAAAAAAACCCGACCCCCAAACCAAACCAAAACGAGAAAAACAACATGTTCCTCAGTGATTAAATGTCAGAACAGAGTCATTTGCAAACTAGTCCACCATCAGCCTCTGCTCCTCAACTCACATGCCTGCCAGCACCCCCGGGTACAATTCCGCTGTCTTTTGGCACTGCAACTGCGCTGCTGCATTGAAGCCCAGCTACACACGCTCAGATGAATGAACACACAGCAGCTTTGAAGAGACACAGACTGGCTGACGGCATGGACAATGGAGTTGCTCAGAAACATACAAATACCTGGTCAGCAGGAGTAAGGGTGACAGCAGACAAACCCAGGCTGATGACACCGCATATGCCTGGCTGATTGAGTAGTTAGGCATGATTTCTAGAGGCATGCTTTGCTGCAGAGCATCAGGGCTTGCCTATCCCACCTAGTCCACATCTCTTCCCCAGTCTTCATGGGTTGCCTATCCTACCAGTCCCCATCTCTTCCATTTGGTTGCAACACATAAGAGCTCCAGGAAATGCCAAAACAAGCCAGACTAGATCAGTTTTTGTTTTAAACCTAGTCAGGGCCCTCTCCGGCTGTCTTTGCTCAGGTAAGTCTGGCTAAAGATGGCGCTCACCCATACTGTACATCAGCAGGGCAAACCTCGTCACCAGTGCTCTCCGCTGTGGTTCAAGGCTGCTGTAGTCGTAATACTCTGAACACGCAGCAACTTGATAATTTTTTCTGATGGGTTCGCTCTTTGTACTCCCAAGGAGGTTTCTACAACAACTGTGATATCATCTGGAACTGATTTTTGCTAATTGCTTTAAAACAAACAAACAAACAAAACAACAGAAAAAAATCCCAAAACTCCCCCAAAAAAACCCACACGAAAGTTTTTGCATTATAGGCTAAATTTCTGATTATTTTCTTGGAATCCCCAGCACACTCCATTCAAATTAGTGTTCTGATAAGACTGTGGTGTGATATTTGTTACATGACAAGGCATGCCATGGGTTGCTAGTTCAAACATCTAAAGTACGGAATCTTGAGGCAGTCAACGTTCGAGTATTGTGAAAATCCATTTTCTGCACTGGGACACCCCTTTGATAGCAGCGAGGCACCTGTTTTGTTAGCCTGGGCAGTCACCGATTTGCTTTCTCCAAGTCATCGCCCCCCAGCTTTTGTAAACTGCATGAGCGTCCCCAGCAGATCTCTCTTTCCTGGACCCCTCCGGCTCTGAACTGGGCACTGGGCCTATGCTTGCCACTGAGCTTGGGCCTTGCTGGCCTCACTCTTCATTTGTTCTTGGCGCCTGGGATGCATGCAGACTCTTCACCCCTTTCCCTCAGGAAAATACATTGTTATACATACAAACATTAAAATTTGCTTCTCTAAGGCATGATTATTTAAGCATGCAACTCTGTGTGGAGCATCTCCAGATTGCTTATTTATTTTCAACAACAAAAAAAAGATGTAAAAGTCTTGCCTAACTTCCATTTCCCTGCTTTAAATTCTTTACTGTCCATGAGCTTTCTGGGGCCTTGAGTCAGAGCTGTTTGGCAGACCTAGGATTCCCTCATGGTGGCTTGGTATCACTGATCACCTCTTTCCTTACGCAGTTAGCATCCCCTTTCTTAGCTGGTTATAGAGCTGCTTCAATCTTGAGAAGGAACACCCTCTGTGAACCCCATGCTCTTTTCTATCTTTGATTCTTCAAGTGTCTTTTACCTCTATATAGCACTAACTCAATTTCTATTTTGTTCGCCTCCTTAGGAAATATAATTTCTTCATACACTTCCTATATATCCTCTCCACCCTTCAGCTCTTGTTCCAAGCCCAAAGGAGACAGACAAAATTGATTTTGTCCAAGATGCAGCGAGATCAGATTCAGATCACAATAATTTTAACAGCTGGCATATTTCTGGACACACGCTGGTGCCACTCCCCATTTCCTCAGGGATTCCTCAGTTGTGTACAGACAAATTTTCAAATCATCATCTCACCAATGGTGGCAATTTTTTTTTTCTTTGTCGCTACATTCAGCAATGAAGCCCCTTGAAAGGATTTTAATTACTAGTTTTAAGTGCCGCTGTGAAATAAAGGAAAACACAGATGACAGGCCATGTCATTTTTGTAGTTCATGTCTCAGATGGTGCCCTATAAAACCCTTCTCAGCTGCTAAGCATTCTAACCTTTCATACGTCGTAGCAGAGCTACAGTATGCATGAGTCAGGTCTGCTGTGGATATATAATCCTCCTTTATCATCAAAACTTGCAATTTCCAATCATGAAGAGAGATACAGCACCACTAGAAACTTGCCTTTTTATTTTATTTTTTAAAATATAAATGAAATTCATCAGTACCAGGCAACAGCATTTATACTTGAAGATTAGTTTGAAATAACTAAAATTATGTTAATCATGTAAAATTCATCTAAATGTATTTAATATATGAGTCCAAAAATATTTGTTAGGGAAGTTAGATAATTTTTAATGTACCTGTCTTTCCATGGTATACTTACAGGTTGTCCATGAATACTCTCAAAATATAGTAGACATTTCTGAAGATTGATTTTTTCCAAAGCCATTTGCTTTTTTGTCATATCCTATTTAAAAAAGTTATTTATAAAATTGAGTCAGGATTTCATGGCAAGGGTACAGGTATGTATCTGTTTAATAATCTGTCCTCTCCAGATAAACGTTAATAATGAATTCTGTTTCTGTCCACACTGAGGTCAATGGGGACTTGGCATTAACTTAGCAAGAACAGAGTCCAAATCTACATGACTGAAGTTTTAAATGAATCCACGTTATGTGTTACCCTCTCAAGGCCTAGTGCAAAGCTGATGAGAGCTGTGGAGATACTTCTGCTGATTAGGTAGGGCCTTTACCAGGGGAAATACCCTGTATTTCTTTGTCTGGCCAAAGTGGATTCCCTGAGGCCTGAACTTGTGCTTTTTCTTCTGGAGAAAGATGAATGAATGAAAATGTACTGAAAGGCTGAAATCTTATTTTTCTTAACTGTCATTATATAAAGATATAATACTTGATTCTCTTGATTTCTTTCAAAATTACTATTCTACATAAGCAATTTAACAAGCTTAAAGTCAGGAAGCAGCATTAGGCTATTGACAGAACACTGCATCCTTATCTCGAAAGTTTCTGAGGTTACAAACTACGGTCTTTGTCAATAAGGCAAGAAGCTTTGTGTGTTGCTTGATCAGAGCCTGCATCTGAAAGGTTTTTCTGGGAATACCAGTTGGCAGAAAGGCTAAACAAGCAGTGGTTCTTGCTTGAATATGACAGCCAAATTGTATCCCATGAGGTATATCATCTCATCAGTTGGGTTTTGGAAAGGTGTGCTCACAAAAGTTGACTGCAGCATATGAGTAGAAGGTGTGGGCATGGAGGTCCCACAGGTATCAGTGCGGTAAGTTTTTAGAACATTTTCCAATGTTTAGGTAACATTTATGAAAAATTGTTATAGCTGAAAAACTAAAGAAATGTTTTTCTCATCCATCCTAGAGAGAAATCAGTTAATGAGATCTCTATGTTACTAACTTCTATTTGTCAGGCCAGTTCATAAAACACAGACAGCATTCCCCATGATATATTATGTATGATTTAGTTGTAATAATTGACAACAACAAATATTCTAGCCAAAATACTCAGAAACTTGCAAAAATGCAGAGAGGACATTCCTCAACTTTTTAATTATTCAGCAAGAAAGAGAAAGAGATTTGCCTTGGCTTGTGAGAAATGAGGAACACAAAGTTTCAGTTACGCAAACAGAACCCTTTTTTGGACTGGAATGATACAGTGACAATGAAATCTCTAAATATCCAATCATTGTGCTACTATGGTGAACACCCCATAAATGCTGAGCACACTAGAAAAAAGTGCTCTCTCTGAAATTAAATGGAAGAAAAATCTGATCATCCAGCAGGAAATTGCAGCTGGACAGTATGCAGGTATGGGGAAGCTGCAGGAAGTGCAGTGCTTTAGTGACAATGGGAACGGAGGTGGGCCTTCTTCCTCAGTCATGGTTCTTGCTCTGCTGGGCTGAACACTAGCAGTTTATTTCTGTTCAAATATCACAATATGAATCACAGAAAGAAGAATGTTGATTTTACAACAGTGCAATTTGTCAGTGTTGGTGATATACCAGTACATGCTTAGGCGTCTGCTGCAGGGAACGCACAATTTAGCTGGTATTTCTCTCCTCCTCTCACTTTCCTGCTCTTCCCAGGAAGGTCTGCCCCTGACACTTGCGTGTTTTTATCTGGGCTGGAACACCAAGGAGCATGTGAAGCTAATGTAATTTTCCACAGTCTCTGCCAGATCACGACAGATCTGTATGAATTAGGGCCAAGTGTTTGGAGGCTTGGAGGAGAGCTCATCCACTGCAATGAAGTAATGTGAAGAACAGTGGAGTTGGGGTGGGGAACAGAGTGGCTTTCTGCAGAAATTAGATGGCTAGGGGTTTTTATTGACAACTTGGAGAAGTATTTTTAATAATTAGTGTCTACTTTTTAAAATTACATCAAGCCCTGAAGAAGTAATGCTCTTCTATATCAAAGGAGTGCATTGCTATTAACTT